TGCTGTAAGAAACAAGTGAATGCCTTCTTCAATTACGATATTCAATATTAGAATTACATTGCGGAATGGATATCCCAATCATTTTTAAAACAATAAGAAAACTTTGAACGGCATGCTCTCATAGTAAAACTGAAGCATTGCACAAGTGAAAACCTCTCTCTTTGATTTTGCATAGGAACTGTTTGACAGTTATTTGCCCCACTATCACTTGTTGGAGCCGCACAATTAATAATACTTTTGATACCTCGCTTTTGTAGAGATAAATTGAGAAACAGTATCTAATGTATCCTCAATTCTCTTCAACTATACTTCAAATACGCGCCAATAGAAAAAAATAGAGAAAAAACCTTTGAATAGCTGCTGGTTTTGTTCCCGAGTAAACACCACTGTTCTGGGAAGGCTGTTGTTAATCCACTGGGCCTGTGTGCCTGCCAGATCATACAGAAATAGAAAAAGAGAAATTCAAACCCAAACCAATACAGTTACATTGTATCAGCATCAAATAGAGAGCCAGTCCGACATACAAAATATTCTGGGCCGACTGTTGGGAACTCATCTTGAACAAGGAGTGAGCAGTCCCTTTTGTTCATCTAGTGTTTTGGCCTTCACCTCAACACACATAAGACATACTGTAGTACAGTAAGTAACCTGGGAGTGCTGTGAAAGACATCTGGTGTGTGAGAAGAGAGAAGGAGACAGACAGACGGTGATCAACAGCAGCTTTCTCAATACGAGGGGCTCTCTAAATCCACCTGTTTGACGGGGCCAGAGATGACAGACCAATCAATCACTGAAGAACTGTGCAGTATCACTGTCATTAGCAAACAGCTTCACAGAGAGCAGTCTATCAGTTGTGAAATACATGTTAGTACCTTGTATTGTTGCTGTGAATATTTTCTTACTATAGAAAACAAAATAAGAGTCTCTCTCCTTTGGCTACAAAAGGACAGTGTATCATCATCATCATCAATATATGCCAGTTGAACACGGCCACTGTTTTTGAACATCACAAAAGGCAGTTTAAAGAATCTTAATGCAAGGTCTTGATAAAGATTACCTTGATCCTTGTGACATATTCTGAACACAATATATTTTCACCATCCCTGCACAAGAGGTCCGGTTCTGTCTATGGCCACTAGATGTCAATGTTTCCACATCCCTTCCCTAGTCACAGAAGAAGCTGAAGTGGCTGCCTTATCCCGTGTCCATCTACAGTATCTGTGTGTTTGGGCGCGCACACACAGTGCAGATCCAGTCAACTAGTTTTCACAGGATAAATACTATAAGAAACCATTTCTCTACCTGGGTTAATACTCAGTGTGCAACCAGGGGTGTGGAGTTGAAGAGGCTGGGGCGTAATACTTCCCATATTTGTTCCAGCTCTTTGCAGATCCGTTCAGCAGTGCAGTCCTTTGGCTGAATAAGAGGAATTACAAACGGAACATGTAAAGGGCAATAATGAGACATTAAAAGTTAGAAAAAAAAAAAACCTTCAGTGACGTCTGTGTCCATGGTAAGACCTGTCAAGCCAAGGTGTCCACAACGAGCACCTCACACACACTCAAACACCTCTGCCCAGAAAGGAGAACATTCAGATTCACCAACAAATGTTCCTTTGATGGACACGACCCATAGTAAAACAGTAGCTTGGTAGTTGTTATCGGTCAGGTGACATGGGGTACCTAGAGATGCTGGAGACAATTAGAGCTTACATAACTTGCTGCAGACTGAAGAAAGGTTGAGAAACGGTTCCTTCCAATGCAGAATTTCAGACTACAAATCTAGAAAAACAAAAGGCTTAAAAGTAGAAAACATAAACCTTTTTATAACAAGATTAAGATATAATAGTGTATTTCGTAGTTCCCTGCAATCACATCAGCTAAAGAGCTAACTTTCTTCTGTACAAATGTAATTCCAAGCCAAGGGGAGAATAGAAGTTCTCAGAAGACTTCTGTCTTGTTTTGTCATCAGGAAAGGCTAATTTTCTTCCTTTTGCTTTGATTGTTATCTGGATACAACAGATATCCAGGGTAAATAACTGTACAGGAAAGTGATAACAGTAAAGGGCTATTTTCCCATTTCATTCCATCTTTTTCTATATCAAACAATATTTACAAAAACATCCACGATCGAAGTCAATTTAAACTCTACAGAGCAAACGAGCAAAAACAAGTCTCTTGTTAAACAAATAAAAAAAGGTGCTATACAGTATTTATATATATTTATATATGAACAGAGCTGCAATTCTTCCTCTTGAAGAACATGTTTTTTGTAAGTGTCATGGTTCATAGTCTTTGTGTTGTAGTCAGGCATGTGTAGTCAGTTACACCTGACGTGTTTCCTTCTTATAATCTAGTATCAACCGATTTTGTCACTTGATGATAATCCAAAAATCTTGTCCTACCCCTCAAGGAGGCAGGGTTTGTTTTTGGTTCCTATGTTGAGTTGGCCTTCATATTGTGTCCTCGGGTGGGTAAGTGTGAGGGCATTGGGTGGAAGTGAGGCCAGGATCACTCAGTGTAGTTGGGCTGACATGAAGGAGGAGAAGGAGTGACTGTTGTGTTGTTGGAATGATCTGACACATAATGAGGTGTGATCAGGACGAGGAGTCAGCAATACCTTGGCCAGTGGGAGGTGAGAGGTTATGCTAAGGTTGGTTTGGGAGAGGCCCCTGGCCTGTTCTAAGAGCCTCAGTAGCGGTGTGGCTGGTGGGAGTACTGTGAGCTTTGCTGGGAGGACGACGAGTATCCCTGGGACTGAGTGGAACCTTGGACGTTGCTTTGGTAACCAAGGCGGGAGCTGGAGTGCTGAAGTGGAGAGAAGAATGAAGAGGAAATAGTAAACCGTTGACGGCTAGAGACCACATTTGTCATGAATTATTTCTCAGTCAACACCACTGGAAAAATGGCATTGTTTATTTCGACCTTGCATGTGGTTTGAAAATAAAACTTATACAACATAAATTACTCCATAACTTTACCTTAGGAGACCTTGTGGGAGGGACATTACTTTTGTTGGCAATGTTTGCAATTGTAAAGCTGTCTGAATAAGTTATAGGTCAAGAACGAGTCAAATAGAAAAGCATGACGTACATAGCCACAGATCTGTAGTGCTTACCAACATACCGCCATGGATTTCTAACAGATTTAACCAGACTACAGACCCAATTCCGAGTTATTTACAGTACCATGACCTACAATTCTATATCCTAAACAGTATACTGTCTATCAAACGACTGAGTCAAATAAAATCAAAAGTGGCTGATGGCGAAGACCTGTGTTTGGGGTCTGAATGAATTACTGATCTGGGTCAAAGGGGGACTGAGCCACACATCAAATGGCATATTATTATATTATTAATAGACGTCAACAGAAGGGCTAACTAAACACCTTACACTACTGCTATGAAGAAAGCAGGCTCGGAATCAATGACTGATTACTGACTGAGTTTTGCCTGGCCGTGACTCACTCTAACCAACTCAGACTGGGCCCAATGCCAAATGTCCTCTTAAAAAGGCAAGAAAAGGCAGAAGTCACTGGTCTTTAGATGAGAAACATTTCTTCTGAGCCATCAGAGAGGCCCTGAGGACCTACAGCTGGACTGGGACCCAGGGGGCTTGGATGGAAGGTTGAGGGGATATGAGCAGAACATGGCTGAAACCTCTGAGGTACGGAGACATCGGCCAAACTAATTCCATACATCTCCAACCACAACCTACAAGTCGCTGCCTGTCTAGCAGTCTATCTATCTACACTCACAGGCAGAGAGGGTGAGCGAGTTGTGCACATTAGGATACTATAGCCTCGGGGAGAGTGATCAATGAGGGGGAAAAGTAGGGCGCTGAATGTGACGCCACAGCAAGCTAACTCTCTGTCCACTCTGTCTGCCCATCCAGAAAGCAAGGGGATATTTATACATCCATTCTGCTAAGGCTTGACTTTGAAGAGTCCAGCAGCTGTCCACATGCAGCCTCAGCTCCCTGCTAAATATAGCCTAGCACCTCGTCAGTCAGTCAGTCAGTCCAGCACCTCACACGACCCGGGCCTAGCCAGGAGGAGACACCTCTGCACAGAACACCATTGAGATCCAGACAACAGGGAGATCACCTTTATCTCACCTTTCTCATATGTGATACACTCTCCCTTCCTCGGTACCATGATCTCCACTCTGTCACTCATGCTCATAGAGGCCCGTCTCTGGAGCAAAGGAAGAATAGAACTCGAAGAAAAGGGCGCAGAGTAGACGGAGAGAGAGAAGAGAAGAAGAGAGACGCGGAGAGAGAGAGAGAGAGCTGAGAGCGAGAGAGAGGAGAGAGAGAGAGAGAGAGAGAGAGTAGAGAGAGCGAGCGAGAGAGACGTATAGAGAGCGCTTCTCTTCTCTCTCATCTTCTCGCGCTCGGCCGCATCTACTCAGCTAGCTCTCTCTCTATCATCTCTCTCTCTTATCTCTCTCTATCTCTCTCTCTCTCTCTCTCTCTCTCTCTCTCTCTCTCTCTCTCCTCTCTCTCATCTCCTTCCTCTCTCTCCATGATAGGGGCACAGCCAAAGATAGAGCAGGCGCCAAGAGGGGAACAACAGTAAGGGCAGCTTGTTTTGCTGTCACCTTTATCAGCAGGCTAGTGTGAACTGGAGGAATGACATTATCATCCTGATATAACATCACCTGCAATCCTACTAGCTAGCACAATGCTCCGCTCTTGTCTGAGTTGAGGGGGTTGTGTCTGTTCACTGACCGTACACAACATGCGTTGCACGTTCCTGACATACTCTGCTGTACACATCTGTACGTGTTTTAAACCTTGAGGGCTCTTTCGGGCAAAGTTCACCGCCATTCATTTTTACTCCATAGTCAAATTATTCATTAATAAAGGATTTGGATTAAGCAAATTTGAATAAGTCAACCCTAGATAACGAATATGCTGTAGGCATGCTCCTCAAAAGACAACAACCACAAGTGATAAACCGTTGGTGACTGAAGCGGTCATCGCCTTCCATCTCCTTTTAATTAAAAACGGACAGTAATACTATGGATGTGTGTAAGGCCGTAAAAACCTGAACCTGGTGGACCCCAGTGCCTGAGGAGGCTCCCGAGGGCCCGATGCGAGATTTCTTGTTCGGGGGCCCCTGGTCCTGGCCGTGCTGGAGGCCTCCCCCGGCATTGGCTCCAGTGGCCCCTGCGTTGCCGTTGGTCTGGGTAGAACTCTGCTGGTTAGAAGCCTGCTGGGTGCCACTCTGCTGCTGGGCCTGGGCTGTCGTCTGCTGGTGCTGTTGGGCCTGGTTCTGATGGAGGACAAACACATTCATGTTCAGTTGGACAGATACAGAGTAACAGATGGAGACTGTAATAATATTCCAATGCGCACCAACATACTAACAGTTTCCTTGGAGTACAACTCTGTTGTAATCTCCCATTTTGCACCAACATACTCACAGTTTCCTATCCATACAAAACATATTCCATACATACACATTGTAAATAAGGTCACTATGGAAACTGCTCACTCAATAAATGGTATCAAGACAACATCACTGTTCAACAACAGCCAAATGAACAATCGCTCACTGATCAATCATGGTCACTGTTTCCAGTATTTGGGAACTGGGAAGTATGTTCCCAGTATTGTGGTGTTTGTTTGGGCCTGATAAACAGTGGGCTGAAATGATTTACAAGAATTACGCTCTGAGCCTTCAGCCCAGCTTACCACTTCTCAACATCTCCAAAACCACGAGGCTGAGACACGTGAACATTAGGGTCAGCTAAAACAATGAGTCCCTCTCATACGCTATGGGCCCTGGTTGGCACAGAGGCCCTGCAGCCTTCCTGACGGCTGCTCTGAGGCAACACTTGTATCAGGTGTTGCCTACTTGACAACAGCTGCCAGTCTGATGCAGGGCCGGGGATTCGCAGAAAGAAGAGGACTGGTATTTCTCTGGCTGTAGCACATGCATACACTCCCCTTTACCCACACTGATTTGGCTCGGTATCATACAAGCACCTGCTTTCAATAGGGTCTGGTATATTCACAACATGGTGTTTGATACCAGCCAGCCTACATGATCAGTAACACTATGGTCCAAATAAAGCCTCCTGTAGCCTATCTGCTATCAGGGGAAAGGCTCCACGTTAGTGATCTTTACCTCAAGTGAGATACGCATCGAGAGCTTAGTGAGATACGCGTCGAGAGCTTAGTGAGATACGCATCGAGAGCTTAGTGAGATACGCGTCGAGAGCTTAGTGAGATACGCGTCGAGAGCTTAGTGAGATACGCGTCGAGAGCTTAGTGAGATACGCATCGAGAGCTTAGTGAGATACGCGTCGAGAGCTTAGTGAGATACGCATCGAGAGCTTAGTGAGATACGCGTCGAGAGCTTAGTGAGATACGCGTCGAGAGCTTAGTGAGATACGCGTCGAGAGCTTAGTGAGATATGCGTCGAGAGCTTAGTGAGATACGCATCGAGAGCTTAGTGAGATACGCGTCGAGAGCTTAGTGAGATACGCATTGAGAGCTTAGTGAGATACGCGTCGAGAGCTTAGTGAGATACGCATCGAGAGCTTAGTGAGATACGCATCGAGAGCTTAGTGAGATACGCGTCGAGAGCTTAGTGAGATACGCATCGAGAGCTTAGTGAGATACGCATCGAGAGCTTAGTGAGATACGCGTCGAGAGCTTAGTGAGATACGCGTTGAGAGCTTAGTGAGATACGCGTCGAGAGCTTAGTGAGATATGAATAAAGTGTATGACAGAGAAGGCCTGGGGTTCCCTCTAAATTCATATCTCACTCATCCATGGTGTCCCATGAACTAAAGGCCACCACCTGACAAACTTTATATTCTTTGTTTAGCCTATGTGCTATCAGGGGACGGGCTAACTTGAGTGACGTTCACCTCCAGAGGTGATTGGACCTGTGGGGCTGGCTGCAGCTGCTGCTGTTGTGCAGCTTGTCCTTAATCCTTATTATCCCCTGGTATGTATTTCTCTCTTCTGACAGATTGTTTCTTTCTCCCTTATTTTAAAGGATTGGGGCAGTCCCACTCCTCACATATTTTCTGTTTATTGGATAGGACAGAGGTATACAGTAAAGATGGGGCCGGATTCGAATCCATGCTGCAGCGGTATATGTGATCCGGAGGCAGCGGCTCAGACCACCCTAGGCCAGACTGCTCATTTTCAATGGACCCTTACCCTTTCAATAACCTTATGAAACCCCTTCTGCTGGGCTGACATTCCATTACTGAGCCATGTGATACTGTTTCTATTAAGGTTTAGGGTTTATTTCTTAAGGTGTTTTGGGTCTATTTCTTAAGGTGTTTTAGGTATATTTATTAAGGTGTTTTGGGTCTATTTATTAAGTTGTTTTGGGTCTATTTCTTAAGGTGTTTTGGGTCTATTTATTAAGGTGTTTTGGGTCAATTCAGACAGCACGATGACAGTTGTTAATAAAAGCATATGGAGAAAGAAGGCTCAGAATTGTGGGGGGTTTTCGATGCATATCCCCGTATTACACTCTTAGTCTATAGCCCAAAGCATTTCACCTCTATTTACCTTCTCTGTTTTCTCATCTGGCTCGTCTTCATTTAGAAACTCTCGTTTTGGGTAAGGTATCTGACATCCGGCAAATACACTACAGGAGAGAATGAGACGAGGGATACACACAATCAGAAAAAAAACAGACTGAGTGTGGTGCATACAAAGACCAATTATTCTTGATCTATCTATGTCAAGAAACCAAAACGCAACCAGGACACTCAAGATAATAACAGTAAACTAGAAATTCAAATACCAGACTATGACTATAAAATTAAATTGGAAGTGGGCTGTTTTTAGTTAACTGAATCAACAATCTCCACTGTTAGTTTATCAGACAGATTTATCATGGTGAATGTGTGGAGAGGATGGCTATGATCATGACTGTGTTTGGAAAATGAAGTTCAGTAGCTCTCACTCTGAGGTTGGTAAGGGGTCCTCCAGGAAATATGGGTCCTGCAGTGCCTGTTCAGACGTAATCCTTTTGGTGGGGTCCATTGTGAGGAGTTTCTGGAGCTGAAAGGTGGTTAATGAACACTGGGTTAGTGGTGCCAAGCAAACCCAATCAGCCAGCCCAGGCTTATTGGTTTTACAGCACTAATATCTAGATTGGGCCTTGTTATCTTATATTCTCCAGTATAAATCACCCTATGGTGTGGTTGAGTAGATACTGTAGCATGCCCTTCATAAACTGGCACTTAAGTTCAAGCATCTAATGGTTACTAGAAGGTGTGCTTACCAACAGGAAAACCTTGCTGTCAGGTTTGACTTTATGTTTCTCCATGTATTTGATTAGGCTGCTATTTGCATACCTGTGAATGGGTGAAGCACAGCAAAGGAAAAAACTGACATCTTAAAGCAAGTGAATAGTCTCAAAATGCTGTCAGCCTGAGAGAGAAGGTTGAAATGTGATGTTAGATGTGTGTAAAAGGTTCAGGTATCTTTTGACAGCCAAGAAAGCCCAGGTATGGTCAGAATGTCAAGCTTTATCCACTCACGTCGTTCTCCTGAAGTCTTTCTGAAGGGTGGGGTACTCTGGCATCTTCCTGATGTCTTCCCAATCTTTATCTGACCAATTCAAACAGACAGAAAAAAATCAGTCACTTTAACCCCACTATAACTGCTTTCAGAGGATAATGTAATCTAATGTACATATTGTAGCTATGACAACAAGCACATGACAAGGAGGACAAGGTTGATGATGACATAGTATACGTCATGACTTTCATGACCGTGAGAATGTAACTGGGCTTTTACTGCGCGTTTCACATGGTCTTATCATTAATGTGTGTGTGTGTGTGTGCGTGCTGGTCAGACCTGCTGGGAAGCCCATGACACTGAATATCCTGTCCAGCTGGTCGTGGTGGAAAGGGTTACTGGTCTTAATGTCCTCCTGGCGACAGTGGAAGATGGGCTCCGATGTCAGCAGCTCCGCAAAGATGCAGCCAATTGCCCAAATGTCTGCATCGGACAGACAAGCAGTTAGCAATTAGACTGAGTGGTCTGGGCCTATACCTTTGACCTTAGCAGGGACGGACACAAAGGCATCAGCAATCAAGGGCTATCTGTCTGTGACAATGTCTTTATCTTTCACTCTGTTTGGAAACTAGCATTTTGTAACCATTGTATTATATGTCCCATTGTGGAGAAACAGAGTGAAGGATTAAAACATTGTCGGAGACACAGAGGCATTATTAAGGTCTATCTGGCCGTGATAATGTTTTTATTTCTCCACTACAGGACACAGAAAACAATAGGTACACTGTGTATTATGAGACAAAAAGATAGAAAAACTAAACTCCTCTAAACTTGAAGATGTATCCAAATATCTCTCACACTAAAGAGACTGAACAGTCACAGGCTGTAATGTGTAGACCCCCTACGCTGTATGTATCTGTGATGACAGACATCCCGAAGGCCCTGTTCGGTTTGGCCTGGAGGGCTCTATTGAGTAATATACAGTGGGGAGAACAAGTATTTGATACACTGCCGATTTTGCAGGTTTTCCTACTTACAAAGCATGTAGAGGTCTGTAATTTTTATCATAGGTACACTTCAACTGTGAGCGACGGAATCTAAAACAAAAATCCATAAAATCACATTGTATGATTTTTAAGTAATTAATTTGCATTTTATTGCATGACATAAGTAATTGATCCCCTACCAACCAGTAAGAATTCCGGCTCTCACAGACCTGTTCGTTTTTCTTTAAGAAGCCCTCCTGTTCTCCACTCATTACCTGTATTAACTGCACCTGTTTGAACTCATTACCTGTATAAAAGACACCTGTCCACACACTCAATCAAACAGACTCCAACCTCTCCACAATGGCCAAGACCAGAGAGCTGTGTAAGGACATCAGGGATAAAATTGTAGACCTGCACAAGGCTGGGATGGGCTACAGGACAATAGGCAAGCAGCTTGGTGAGAAGGCAACAACTGTTGGCGCAATTATTAGATAATGGAAGAAGTTCAAGATGATGGTCAATCACCCTCGGTCTGGGGCTCCATGCAAGATCTCACCTCGTGGGGCATCAATGATCATGAGGAAGGTGAGGGATCAGCCCAGAACTACACGGCAGGACCTGGTCAATGACCTGAAGAGAGCTGGGACCACAGTCTCAAAGAAAACCATTAGTAACACACTACACCATCATGGATTAAAATCCTGCAGCGCATGCAAGGTCCCCCTGCTCAAGCCAGCGCATGTTCAGGCCCGTCTGAAGTTTTCCAATGACCATCTGGATGATCCAGAGGAGGAATGGGAGAAGGTCATGTGGTCTGATGAGACAAAAATATAGCTTTTTGGTCAAAACTCCACTCGCCGTGTTTGGAGGAAGAAGAAGGATGAGTACAACCCCAAGAACACCATCCCAACCGTGAAGCATGGAGGTGGAAACATCATTCTTTGGGGATGGTTTTCTGCAAAGGGGACAGGACGACTGCACCGTATTGAGGGGAGGATGGATGGGGCCATCTATCGCGAGATCTTGGCCAACAACCTCCTTCCCTCAGTAAGATTATCGAAGATGGGTCGTGGCTGGGTCTTCCAGCATGACAACGACCCAAAACACACAGCCAGGGCAACTAAGGAGTGGCTCCGTAAGAAGCATCTCAAGGTCCTGGAGTGGCCTAGCCAGTCTCCAGACCTGAACCCAATAAAAAATCTTTGGAGGGAGCTGAAAGTCCGTATTGCCCAGCGACAGCCCCGAAACCTGAAGGATCTGGAGAAGGTCTGTATGGAGGAGTGGGCCAAAATCCCTGCTGCAGTGTGTGCAAACCTGGTCAAGACCTACAGGAAATGTATGATCTCTGTAATTGCAAACAAAGGTTTCTGTACCAAATATTAAGTTCTGCTTTTCTGATGTATCAAATACTTATGTCATGCAATAAAATGCAAATTAATTACTTAAAAATCATACAATGTGATTTTATGGATTTTTGTTTTAGATTCCGTCGCTCACAGTTGAAGTGTACCTATGATAAAAATTACAGACCTCTACATGCTTTGTAAGTAGGAAAACCTGCAAAATCGGCAGTGTATCAAATACTTGTTCTCCCCACTGTATGTCAGTTATACTTGACATTCCCAGGCAAGTATTCCAGGGATTTTTTTATTTAACCTTTATTTAACCAGGCAAGTCAATTAAGAACAAATTCCATTTAAGACAAAAAAGACAAAAACACAGACAGAAGACTGGCAACTGTAACGTTTCCTCCCGTTGCGCCCCTCCGGCGCTCTGATTCGCCGGTCTACTGAGCCACCGGTCTGAGCGCACCACCTCGGCTACACCGGAATGGAAACCCAACTCACCCTAATCGCACCCTAATCACCTCCAGCGCACCTGCACCTCATCATCTCATCACCACCCCTATTTAGCCCTGGACTGTTCTTTGTGATTGTTTAGCTTCGTGTCGTTTACGCTATCTTTGTTATTTCTCTTTGTCTTTGTTAAGTAAACCTTGACCTTGTTAATTCCTGCGTCTGCGTCCTGCCTCTTCGTATATCAGTACTCGTCACAGAATCACACACCTCACGAAAATGGATGCAGCAGGAGTTTCCCAGTGCCTCGACCTATACCAGCAGCGGCTTGCCCAGTTGAACGCCGCCATGAAGGAAGTGCTCCAAACTCTGCATAATCTGCCCAGTGCTCCGGTTCCACCTCAGGGAGCGGCGAGTGCCCCCAATCCACCTCTTCCCGTGCTATCACCCACTTTTGCGGGAACCCTCGCCCTACCGGAGCGCTATGACGGTAAAACTACTAAATGTAGCGGCTTCCTGCTACAGGTTTCACTTTATCTGGCTTGTCAGCCTGGGGCATATCCATCTGACCAAGCCAGGATAGCGCTGGTGATTTCACTACTTAAAAGAAAGGCGCTGGATTGGGCCACGGTAGTCTGGGAAGGAGAGGAGGCAGTGGCACTACCCTACCCCACCTTCCTCGCTCGGTTCAGGGCAGTGTTTGATCATCTCACGGAGGGAAAGGATGGGGGTGAGTGTCTCCTCCATCTACAACAGAGAGAGGGGCCCGCGTCTGAGTACGCTCTGAGCTTTCACACGGTGGCGGTGTCTTCCGGCTGGAATGAGCGTGCTCTGCGCACGGCCTTCAGGAGAGGCTTACGGGGGGACATCAAGACGGAACTCACATGTCGGGAAGACGAGATGGACCTTGATACCCTTATCACCACGTCCATCCGTCTTGACGACATGTTGAGAGAGAGACCGCGTTCCCAACACCTCCCGGAGCCTTGACGCTCACCCCATCTGAGCTATGGAAGGCGCCCTGCTTCCGAGTCATCACCCATGGAGGTGGGCAGCACCCCCTACACCACCACGGACCACAGATCTCCTGGTGGCTCCCTATCTAGGCGTTATGACTCCCGACGCCGCTCCGTGAGTGTTACGTCAGCTCCTATCACAAAACCATTGTTTTTAGTTCCCATAACGGTGTCTAGTTATTCCTTCTCTTCCATTTCTACTGCTATGATAGATTCCGGATCAGCAGGGAACCTTATAGATAGGGAGCTGGTCTCTGAATGGGGGTTGTCCAGCGTGCCACTGCCCTCTCCACTACACGTCACCTCACTGGACAATAAACCCCTTGGATCAGGCATCATTACGCACGTCACTCTCCCCATCTCCATTCCCACACTACTGGAGCACCACGAGGAGCTGTCATTCCACATCGTCACGTCACCCCTTCACCGGATCGTCTTGGGATTGCCCTGGCTCAGACTACACAACCCCACCATCAATTGGAGCACCAAGAGGATCACAGCCTGGTCTACCTCATGCCAGAAGACCTTCCTGCTGGTGGTTTGTTGTTCCACGTCAGCGGAGAGTCCGGAGTCCGCCCTCCAGCCCAACATTCCACGTGAGTATGCAGATCTCTCCGATGTCTTCTCTTCATTAAATGCTATGTGTCTCCCTCCTCACAGGCCCTGGGACTGCGCCATTGACCTGCTGGAGGGACAACACCCCCCGAAGAGTCGCATTTACCCCCTTTCCATGGCGGAGACTGAGGCCATGGAGAAGTATGTGGCGGAGACCTTTGAAACAGGGGTTCATCAGAATCTCTACCTCTCCTGCCTCTGCCAGCTTCTTCTTCGTGGCCAAAAAAGACGGCGGACTGAGACCATGCATTGACTACAGGGGTGCTGAACACAGTCACCACCAAGTACCAGTACCCCCTCCCTCTGGTTCCGTCGGCCATCGAGCAGCTACGAGGGGCCCGGTACTTTGCCAAGTTGGACCTGAGGAGTGCCTACAACCTGATCCGAATCCGGGAAGGAGACGAGTGGAAGACGGCATTCAGCACTACCTCAGGCCACTATGAATACTGCGTCATGCCCTACGGCCTCGCCAACGCACCTTCTGTGTTCCAGTCCTTCGTCAATGACGTGTTTATTAGACAGGTGGTGGTGTACATCGACGATATCGTGATCTACTCGGCTACGTTCGAGCAGCCTGTTGGTGAAGGGGGAGAAATGTGAATTCCACCAACAGGCCATCTCCTTCCTGGGATACAGGATCAGTCCTCACAGGGTGTTCATGGAAGGAGTGAAGACGGACGCCGTCAGGTCATGGCCAGTTCCCACCATCATCAAGGGCCTACATAGCTTCCTGGGCTTTGCCAATTTCTACCGGTGTTTCATCAGGTCCTTCAGCTCCATAGCCGACCCGCTCACCTCTCTCCTTAAGGGTGGGTCTCAGAAGCTGGCCTGGGACCCTGAGGCTGACGCTGCCTTCAAGAGGCTGAAGGAGAGGTTCACCACCGCGCCCATCCTAAAACACCCAGATCCATCTCGTCCTTTCATCCTGGAGGTGGACGCATCGGAGAAGGGCGTGGGTGCGGTCCTCTCTCAGTGGCACGGTAAGCCAGAGCAAATGTATCCCTGTGCCTTTTTCTCTAAAAAGCTTACCCCCGCAGAGAGGAACTATGGAGTTGGAGACAGGGAGCTGTTGGCGGTGGTCCTCGCTCTGGAGGAATGGAGACACCGGCTGGAGGGCGCAGTACATCCATTCCGGATTCTTACTGACCACCGGAATTTGGAGCACAAACGGGCAGCGAAACGGATGAACTCTCGTCAAGCTAGGTGGGCCCAATTTCTCACTCGCTTCCAATTCATTCTGTCCTACCGCCCAGGATCCCAGCATGTGAAGGCCGACGCACTCTCCAGGATCCACCATACCGGAGAAAGGAAGGATCTGGGGGGTCCTATCCTGCCCTCGTCTCTCATCATTGCACCTGTCGTTTGGGATGTGGACGAAGACATTCGCCTGGCGGCTCAGGAGGACCCAGCACCTGCCAACGCCCCTCCGGGGCGCGTGTATGTACCCACCAGTGTCCGTGACTGCCTGCTGATTTGGGCGCACACTACCCTTACGGCAGGACACTCTGGTATTACGCGCACCCTGCATTCTCTGGCCCAAAAATACGGGTGGCCCACCTTGGCTTCTGATGTCTCCCACTATGTCAACTCCTGTTCCGTATGTGCCCAAACGAAGACACCTCGGAACGCCCCGGCAGGCAAACTAGTTCCTCTCCCAGTGCCTCAGCGACCTTGGTCACACCTATCCATAGACTTTGTCACCAACCTTCCACATTCTGACGGCTTCACCACAGTCATGGTGGTCGTAGATTGGTTCTCCAAATCATGCCGTTTTTTGCCACTAACTGGTCTTCCTTCTGCTCTCCAGGTCTTTGAGGTCCTGTTCCAACAGGTCTTCCGGCATTATAGACTTCCGGAGGACATCGTCTCGGACCGTGGACCCCAATTCACCTCCTGAGTGTGGAAGGCTTTCCTGGAGAAGATCTGGGCCACGGCCAGCCTCACTTCTGGGTATAGGCCTCAGTCGAATGGGCAGGTGGAGCGCATGAACCAGGAGCTGGGGAGGTTTCTTCGTTGCCACTGTCAGGACCGGCAGGGTGAGTGGGCGAGGTTTCTTCCCTGGGCAGAATATGCCCAGAACTCCCTCGTTCACTCCTCCACGGGGCTCACTCCCTTCCAGTGCGTCCTGGGGTACCAGCCAGCCCTGGCCCCTTGGACACCCAGCCAGACCGATGCTCCCGCTGTCGATGAGTGGTTCCATAGGGCCGTACAGGTGTGGGACGCCGCCCATGTCCATCTCCAGAGGGCCATTCGTCGGCAGAAGGACCAAGCCGACCACCACCGCATTGAGGCCCCTGTATTCCAGCCTGGGGATCGTGTCTGGCTGTCCACAAAAAACCTCCCTCTCAGCCTGCCCTGGAAGAAACTGAGCCCCCGGCTTGTGGGGCCGTTTAAGGTCCTCCGGCGGATAAATAAGGTATCATACCGGCTGCTCCTTCCTCCTCACTACCGTGTCTAACCCACTTTTCATGTGTCTCTCCTCAGGCCGGTGGTTCCTGGTCCTCTGGCGGATGCCGTCCCCCGGGGTACGCCTCCTCCGCACCTGGACATTGACGGGAGTCCGGCATATGCGGTGAGCGACCTGCTGTACTCCAGGTTCCGTGGGGGACGGCTCCATTACCTGGTGGACTGGGAGGGGTATGGTCCTGAGGAGAGGAGCTGGGTTCTAGCTGGGGACGATCTGGACCCCAACCTAATTCGGGACTTCCACCGTCGCTGCCCTGACCAGCCCGCTCCTCGTCCTCGGGGTCGTCCTCCTGGCCAGCGACATCCAGCGGCTGGAGCTGCACGTCCAGGGGGGGGGGGGGGGACTGTCACGTCTCCTCCCGTTACTCCCCTCCGGCATTCTGGTCTACTGAGCCACCGGTCTGAGCGCAACACCTGAATGGAAACCCAACGCACCCTAATCACCTCCAGCGCACCTGCACCTCATCATCTCATCACCACACCTATTTAGCCCTGGACTGTTCTGGATGATGTTGTGAGTGATTGTTTAGCTTTGTGTTGTTTACGCTATCTTTGTTATTTCTCTTTGTTAAGTAAACCTTGACCTTGTTAATTCCTGCGTCTGCATCCTGCCTCTTCGTATACTCAGTACTCGTCACAGCAACAGTACAAATACAACAGCAAAGAAACAGTGGATGTGTGTGTGTGCATGCAGGCATGTGTGTGGTGTGTGTGAAATAATACAATGAATCTGTAAAACAACATGCTTCCTTCCATAGGGCAAAGCAAAGTTGTGACTGTCTCAACAACCTGTTCATCTATTTGGACTATGAACTCCCCCATGGACACAGGTCCTTTAGTTTTAGGTTGGCTTGGAGGGAATTCCAAGACCAGGGGGCTGAGTAATAAAATGACCTTTTTCTATGCTCGGTTCTAATTTTCGGGACTCTTAGCATAAAACAAGACTGAGATCCGAGCATGTATGCATTTTCATTTCAAGCTAGAAGAGAGGATAGATAAAATGGCAGTATTCCTAAAATGGCCTTATAAATAGGAATGTAAGAGTGTTTGAGCCTGCGTGTTGCTAGGGATGTCGTCTAGCTAATTATACACAACAAGACATACCCCTCATACAGATAAAGACCATGTATCACACTGCTTGTCAGGCCCTAGCTGTCAACGACACCCACATGGTATCTGTGAATGTCCACGTATACTGAGGCTGAGTCTGACCAGAGCTGTATATTTAAAATTTTAGTCATTTAGCAGACACTCTTATCCAGAGTGACTTACAATAGTGAGTGCATTCATTTTTCGTCCTTTTTCTTACTGGTCCCCCGTGGGAATCGAAACCACAACTCTGGCGTTGCAAGCGCCATGCTGTACCAACTGAGCCACACAGGACCATATATGGCTCTGAGGCTGGCATACAGTAATGAGAGTAAATGCAAATACTGTCTAAGTAAACAATCAAAGAGCAAAGTTCTACTGGCCTGCCTGTGCTGGTTGGTTTTCAATTCATTTCCATCTAATCTCTGCGCTTTGGTTACAAAATAGGAAGCATGTGTTAGGTATGAATATAATTCAGGTTACACAATAACTTATCTGAAACTTCTTTCAACGTCTGTACCTTCTGTATGAAAATAAATCAGGTTACATAATAATTTATCTGAAACGTATTTTGATGCATGTACCTCTTGCCTTAAGGCTAACGACTCACCGATTGCTTTGGTGTAATGTCTGGCCCCTAGCAGAAGCTCAGGGGCCCTGTACCAGAATGTCACCACGACGGGGTCAAGGTCCGCCAGCGGTTTGAGAGGAGAGTTGAAGAGTCTGGCGAAGCCCATGTCAGCTAAAACGTGAATAAGATAGTGGTGGAAACACAACATAGTATCAATGTGAATGAATGACAGTGAAACACAGGGCGGCCTGAACCCAAGGCTACTCTACCCTCCCTGTCTTAAGCCAGGATAGCCTTATCAGGAGAGACCTGATAGTGACTGGCAGCACAAGCATTCCAAGCAGCGTTTGACCTGCTATTAGACTGATTATTATTGATATTGATATTTGTACTGCACTGTTGAGGGAGCTGGCATGTAAGCGTTTCGCTGCAACGTTTATACCTGCTGTAAACTGTGCACGTGATGAATAAACTTTGATTTGATTTCAGTGAAGGAGGTAGTGTTTGGTTTCAGGAAGGATCCCTGGCTCTGTTGAGCAAGCCATACAGATGTAGGATCTTAATTTGAGCCAGTTTGCCACAGCAGGAAAATAATCCTGCAGCAACAGGAAATGTGAATTATTATGTGTATTACATTTGCATTAATTGGATGACAAGATAAGCCTTAAGACGATCCTGCCACCACCAAAATCTTTTAAGAGCTCAATGCTGCTGTTCCTCTCTCTCGGCGGCTGTGGACTCACACGACTTGTGTTTCGTTTGCTTGGGCCCCACAGCACGCCAGGGACTGCATCCAGGACCCCCAGAATGCGTCAGCTGCGTCCTGCTATCCTCCAAGATGCGGCGGGAACGATTGCTGTTTTTCGGTGTGGAGGTCCACCTCGAAAGCATTATCTCCGCATTCTCAGGTTCTGAGGGCTCTTCCGGAGATGATGAAGCTGACAACATTGGGGATATGGAGGACGCTATTTTCAAAGAGCCGACTCCACTGACCCAAGCTCACGGCCTCCACTCCCCCCTGGGGAGGGTGAGTGTGGCAGTGACATCGACGAGAGGGAAGAGTTCTCCGACCTCTCCTCGGAACAATCGTCCGCTCTGTCAACTTCCCTACGCTCCGACTTCCCGGGGCTTATCTAGGGGGCTGCCAGACGCCTCGGGATCCCCCTGCCCTCCAGCCAGAGATACTGACATGATGGTGGGCGGGCCTTGGGCTCAGCGACGCAAAGTGGCGGAACCTATAACTCCCGCCATGCCCTTGCTGGATAATTATGCAGGAGGCTCCTGGGACGAACCACTAATGGCAAGGGAACCGGCAAAATCGTATTTTCCCTTTACCAGAGTGGAGGGGACGGCAAGAACCCATCACCATGGGTATCCCCTGGCTGGAGAAGACGCTGGCTGCCCACTTTATTCCAGGCTACAGCAAATGGAACGCGAATAAGCTTTTGTAGAGGTTGAAACGAAGTCAAGTCTGACATTTCTAAGTGGAAATTACAAACATCAGAAGCATTTTTAAACCTCAAATACACTACAAGTTTTACATTTTCTGCATTGCATGAAGGTTCTCCTGCAACAGGTTGATCAAATTAAGATCCTACATCTGTACCATGATTAATGTATAGCTTGTCAAAGCCACCCTGCTTGAATTCCACTGCCTTTCCTCTCTCACAAGAGCGGGGAAATCAACATATACAATGCTGCATGGCTGGTGTTTATGTCAATGCTGTCAGTAAGTCATCTTATGGGCCAGATCTGCATAGCACCTGGAGTCTATATCATGTTTTGTAGTCTTGTGGGAAGGTCTTCTGATTGTAGTCTTATGGGAAGGTCTTCTGTCTGTAGGTCTTATGTTTGTAGTGTCGTGACAATTACCACCAGGGACACCTGAAGTCAATCTTAAATTAATCATTCTTTATTAACTGCAAGCTGGAGAGGTCACACCTAGATGCATAAAGTACCGGTCTGAAGTGAGCACCGCTGGGGCAGTCCCGTTAGTTATATTTGCATGATTTAGCTTATTCATTATTCATCATTAATTCATAATTAACGTTTGGTTCATGCATGTGACCGACCAATACCTCAGGAGGCTTCTTCTCTCCAAGTTGAGACCTTAAAACTGAGATATCCCTTTCCATTCTCAAAACAATGTTCTGGGCGTACTGCCAAATTGCAGATACTGATAGTGAAAATTCCTCCCAGGCACAATCAAATCAAATTGTATTTGTCACATGCAACGAATACAACAGGTGTAGACCTTACCGTGAAATGCTTACTTACAAGCCATTAACCAACAATGCAGTTTTAAGAAAATAGAGTTAAGAAAATATTTACTAAATAAACTAAAGTAGAAAATAAACAAACTAAAAAAAGTAACACAATAAAATAACAATAATGAGGCTATATACACGGGGTACCGGTACCGAGTCAATGTGCAGGGGTACAGGTCAGTCGAGGTAATTTGTACATGTAGGTAGGGGAAAAGTGACTATGCATAGATAATAAACAGGGAGTAGCAGCAGTGTAAAAATTTGATTAATTGTTCAGCAGTCTTATGGCTTGGGGGTAGAAGCTGGTAAGGAGCCTTTTGGTCCTAGACATGGCGCTCCGGTACCGCTTGCCGTGCGGTAGCAGAAAGAACAGTTTATGACTTGGGTGACTGGAGTCTTTGACAATTTTTTGGGCCTTCCTCTGACACCGCCTAGTATATACAGTTGAAGTCAGATGTTTATATACACCTTAGCCAAATACATTTAAACTCAGTTTTTCACAATTACTGACATTTAATTCTAGTAAAAATTCTGTTTTAGGTCAGTTAGGATCACCACTTTATTTTAAGAATGTGAAATGTCAGAATAATAGTAGAGAGAATTATTTATTTCAGCTTTTATTTCTTTCATCACATTCCCAGTGGGTCAGAAGTTTACATAAACTCAATTAGTATTTGGTAGCATTGCCTTTAAATTGTTTAACTTGGGTCAAACGTTTCGGGTAGCCTTCCACAAGCTTCCCACAATAAGTTGGGTGAATTTTGGCCCATTCCTCCTGACAGAGCTGGTGTAACTGAGTCAGGTTTGTAGGCCTCCTTGCTCGCACACGCTTTTTCAGTTCTGCCCACACATTTTCTATAGGTTTGAGGTCAGGGCTTTGTGATGGCCACTCCAATACCTTGACTTTGTTGTCCTTAAGCCATTTTGCCACAACTTTGGAAGTATGCTTGGGGTCATTGTCCATTTGGAAGACTCATTTGCGACCAAGCTTTAACTTCCTGACTGATGTCTTGAGATGTTGCTTCAATATATCCACATCATTTTCCTTCCTCATGATGCCATCTATTTTGTGAAGTACACCAGTCCCTCCTGCAGCAAAGCACCCCCACAGCATGATGCTGCCACCCCCGTGCTTCACGGTTGGGATGGTGTTCTTCGGCTTGCAAGCTCCCCCTTTTTCCTCCAAACATAACGATGGTCATTATGGCCAAACAGTTCTATTTTTGTTTCCTCAGACCAGAGGACATTTCTCCAAAAACTACGATCTTTGTCCCTATGTGCAGTTGCAAACCGTAGTCTGACTTTTTTATGGCGGTTTTGGAGCAGTGGCTTCTTCCTTGCTGAGCTGCCTTTCAGGTTATGACGATATAGGACTCGTTTTACTGTGGATATAGATACTTTTGTACCTGTTTCCTCCAGCATCTTCACAAGGTCCTTTGCTGTTGTTCTGGGATTGATTTGAACTTTTCGCACCAAAGTATTTTCATCTCTAGGAGACAGAACGCGTCTCCTTCCTGAGCGGTATGACGGCTGCGTGGTCCCCTGGTGTTTATACTTGCGTACTATTGTTTGTACAGATGAATGTGGTACTTTCAGGCGTTTGGAAATTGCTCCCAAGGATGAACCAGACTTGTGGAGGTCTACAAAAATTTTTCTGAGGTCTTGGCTGATTTATTTTGATTTTCCCATGATGTCAAGCAAAGAGGCACTGAGTTTGAAGGTAGGCCTTGCAATACATCCACAGGTACACCTCCAATTGACTCAAATGATGTCAATTAGCCTATCAGAAGTTTCTAAAGCCATGACATCATTTTCTGGAATTGTCCAAGCTGTTTAAAGGCACAGTCAACTTAGTGTATGTAAACTTCTGACCCACTGGAATTGTGATACAGTTAATTATAAGTGAAATAATCTGCCTGTAAACAATTGTTGGAAAAATTACTTGTGTCATGCACAAAGTAGATGTCCTATCCGACTTGCAAAAACTATCGTTTGTTAACAAGACATTTGTGGAGTGGTTGAAAAACAAGTTTTAATGACTCCAACCTAAGTGTATGTAAACTTCCGATTTCAACTGTAGGTCCTGGATGGCAGGAAGCTTGGCCTCAGTGATGTACTGGGCCGTACGCACTACCCTCTGTAGCGCCTTACGGTCGGATGCCGAGCACTTGCCATACCAGGCGGTGATGCAACCGGTCAGGATGCTCTCGATGGTGCAGCTGTATAATTTTTTGAGGATCTGGGTACCCATGCCAAATCTTTTCAGTTTTCTGAGGGGGAAAAGGCGTTGTCGTGCCCTCTTCACGACTTTCTTGGTGTGTTTGGACCATGGAAGTTTGTTAGTGATGTGGACACCAAGGAACTTGAAGCTCTCATCCTGCTCCACTACAGCCCCGTCGATGTGAATGGGGGCGTGTTCGGCCCTCCATTTCCTGTAGTCCACGATCATCAATCAATTAGTCACTTGCATGAACCCAGTCAAATTGGTTATTAGAAAAGCACAAACATAAAATGTTCCTTCACAGTAGTCTTATGGAAAGGTCTTCTGTCTGTAGTCTTATTGGAAGGTCTACTGTTTGTAGTCTTATGAGAAGGTCTTCTGTTTGTAATCTTATGAGAAGGTCTTCTGTTTGTAGTCTTATGGGGAGGTCTTCTGTTTGTAATCTTATGGGAAGGTCTTCTGTTTGTAGTCTTATGGGAAGGTCTTCTGTGTCTGTGCAGGACCCGAAGTGAAGTTTGGTGGTCTGGTCTGGTATGGTGGGTGTCACACTGTCATTGACACCCAGACATCCCTGAGCAGCAGTCATCAGGGGGGTTCAGTGACTCTAAAACAATAACTTAGCACAAATGCTAGACTCTCAGGGTTAGGCTATAAATAGAGTCCGGCCGGCACTGCAGA